TGCAAATACAGATACCTGAATGCATACGTACCTCATTATTTTTACATATTTTTCAATATTTTAAACAAATTGAGTGAATTAAAATAGAAAATTATGATGCAACAATTTATTTCTATTAATGATTTAAAGATTTGTCCAACTAATCTACAAAAATATTTTTTTTTATCAATAACACATAACAATAATAATAATTGCATTAATAGCAATTATTTTCAATATAATTATAACCTCATATATTTATATATAGTAATTACCTAATTAGTATTAATAGTATAGTTATTATTAATATGAGAATAGCCTAATTAATATCAATAGCATAATTATTATTAATAAAATAGTATATTTATTACTAATATCTAATAGCCTAATTAATATATACGAGTAATAATCGCATAATTATTAACATAATATCATAATTGTTGTTAATATAATAAAATTATAATTATTGTTAATAAAATAGAAACATAACTATTTTTAATATAATAAAATTATAATTATTATCAATAAAATAAAACCATAATTATTAATAATTAATATAATTAAAGCATATTTATTATTATTATAATAAAAGCATAATAATTATTAATTATTACCATAATTATTATTAATATATCTACATAACTTTATTAATGCTCTCAGTTTACTACTCAGATGCTAATCTGAATTAGATCGCACACAGTAATATCAACAAATGTGGAGTAGTATCAGAATTAGTATTTTTTTTGATATCAGAAAATTAGTATTACCCAAATTAGATATGTTTAAAGGTCCTAAATTGAGAATTTCATTATTCTGATGAAGTTGCTTTAGGTAATAAGTGTTTTACCGTTTGTTCAGAAATGCATTCAAGAATATGCAAATACAGATACCTGAATGCATACGTACCTCATTATTTTTACATATTTTTCAATATTTTAAACAAATTGAGTGAATTAAAATAGAAAATTATGATGCAACAATTTATTTCTATTAATGATTTAAAGATTTGTCCAACTAATCTACAAAAATATTTTTTTTTCTTTTGTGTATTCGAAAATGCGCATACCTTTCAATAACAAACATGGCTAAAAATAGCAACAACAAAAACACTGCCAGTGAAGTCGCGGGGTTTCTATGGCAGCAAATGTAAGAATATACCTAATAAATGTTTTTAATGTTTTTTAACATTTTAATTGTAGAGAATATAAGAAGAAATTCATGACTTAATGAAATTATATGCATTTCATGAGAAATTCATATAAAATAGCATCCCAATAACAACACAAAAAAACTCACCTGAGCAACGCTCACCAACAGCAACGCAGTCCTCTGCTAATTCCACAAATACGAATAAAATTAAATCCTTATTTCCTGCACAAAGATTTCAGCTTCTTTTTCTTCAATATTTTTTAAATTTAAATATTTCACACAATTATTTCTTTAATTAAGATTATTTGTTTGGTTCTCACGCCTTCTACTACACCAAGATATGTAATGAATAACATTCAATATGGCTGCTTCTATTGCAGTTACTATAACTGCTTAAATTATAGCACAAATATTTCATTTTACATAATAAGAATTGCCAACTTAGTTTTTTATTATGATTTATAATTTTAAGTTATTGTTGTCACACGTCTTGTATAACTGATTATATTATATAAATAAATCGTTTTCAAAGCAGTTTTTTTAAATATAAACCATAAATAAAAATTTTTGAAATTTAGAACAGGTAACTGTTTTGTGATTGCAATTTTGTGCACTCAGCTCAGACGCAAAAAATCTGTTTTCACAACTTAATTTTCGTTTCCAAAACAATTTCTAATCAGTTAAACATCAACGACATTTAGTATCAACATAACGGCGCCATACAGACTTCCCATATAGCGCGCTTAACAATCAATTTATTGCGATATCAATTTGGGAATAACTTTATTTCCAAAACTGATCCTGTTAACTGGACCCCTCATGGTGCGATTCGAGAACGCGGCGAACACATATATAAAATCACATTCAAAAAATAAATACCATGAAATTATCTACCAGATTATAATAAAAAAAAATTGATTCCAACAATATTTCTGTCTTGTATTATCATTTTAAGTTCTCATGGAATTAAAAATATAGGGGTAATTAACAGTCGATTTCACAGTACCAACATAAGTCTTAAAACTGACTTAAATATTATTATGATTACATTCAAATATATATATTATTTCGTGCGGAACTGCCACACGTAACTTTCATTTAAAAATTGAGGTCATCTGCATTTGAAGCAAAAATGAAACACGGCGAATATGAACGTATATACTTGGCACTAGTCACGGCGTATTACTACGCTCAAAACACAATCCAAAAAGTCAATTGAAATATTTTAACGCTAAAATAAAAAGCACATCATTTGACTAATTGTGAGTGAAAAATGCACCTACTGCAAATAAAAATTATATGAAACCTACATATCTTAATTAAGAATCCAAAGCTTTCTGGGATAATATTGCATTCACAGTGGCCTCAAATGGCTCATATTTACGTACAAAATCTCAAGCGCAATTGAGACCCATTGCATTTTATTCTGTATAAATAGTTCCAACAAGGTAATATTGTGTTTACATTGGCCGAAAATGGCTCATTTTGGTCAAAAATCGAAAATGAGTATCGAATGGCTCATTCTTGCATATAAAATTTCAAGCACAAAAATGAGCAATTTTCTCACATTCTGTATGAAAGACGTTCGAATGCATTCCACATATGTTCCAAATGTAAAGGAATCTATTGAACATACCCTAAATGAAAGCTCTTCATGGCATTTTGACAGTTTGAAAAAGCTGTTTTGACATATTTACAAAAAAAGGTAAACAAATGTTTGGTGGTTGCATTTTCTTTAAAACGATGCACCAATTTTTGGAACTTCTACTTCCCAAAAATAAATAAATCGAATCTAGAAACAAGTTTTCAGTTTATATTGTAAGGTTTGAAGGTATATTTAACCTTCCTGTAACATTTTTTTGGCACAGACCAAAAATTAAATCAACATGCAAGTTGAAAAATCAGCTGTTTGAAATGAGAAAAAATGAAATACAACGAATGTAAACACTTTCAAATGACTCATTCAGAATGAGCCATTTTCAGCCAGTGTAAACGCCATATAAGAATATGTTCCAAATAAGTTACAAATGCAAATTAATACATTGAACATACTCTAAATAAAGCTTTTCATGGTACGTTGACAGTTTGGTAAAGCTGTTTGTGACATATTTACAAAAAAACATTAAAAAACATTGGGATGGTTGCATTTTCTTAAAAACGATGCACATCTTTTTGGACTTCTACTTCCGAAAAATAAATTAATCGAAGTTAAAAATAGGTTTTTAGTTTATATTGTAAGGTTTGAAGTTATATTTAACCTTAATCTTTTTTTTTTTTAAATTTATTTTCTTATATTGCGATCTGTCAATTCGGAATAGACAATAGACAATAAACAATATTTAAAAGTGACTAAATACTTAAAATTTTTGTGAGCTTGAAGGGACTGTGCTCAGTAGTACATCAGTCTGCTGGAGTCGGACACATTAAA